GTGCTGACTACATCTTCGGTCAGTATGTTGGACGGAAGAGGGTGCAGGTACCGCCGCCTGTAAAAAGAAAAGATGAAAGAACCCGGCTGCATGTGGAAACTATAAATAATAACCGCGGCCGGCCCCAACGGGCGATAAGCCTATGGGACGTTATTATTATTATTATTATTATTGTTAAACTCAAAATCGTTCAAAGTCGTGTGAAACGAAAACGAAAATCCGTAAAATTGCGCAAAATGCAAGAACTATTGTTATCCTGAAGAGTTGCAAGTATTGCTGAAGCTCTAATCTTAAGAAAAGCCAGAGATTCAATGTTATAAAATCTGTTTTGTAATATAGAATCATAAGATTATTCATGCGGTTACGCGAAGAATTTCATTAGTCTTTAGGTCAATTTACTCGGCTTTGCTACTCCAGAATTTAATTGCACTGGTTAAAGCCTGATACAATGCATTGATTCACTTGGGTGCATATACCTTATTCTCGACTTTGACGAGCAAACTCAAACTTTTCTCCCTATTTCCAAAAACCCCGTAACGAAAAAGTTAAACGAAACCTCAAAACAGCCGTTCACAGAAAAAAAAAGAAATAAATTTAAATAAGAATGACATGATTAGATGAAGTGTTTGCTGATTTAATACATAATGTTTGCATATAGAATACACTTACAAAATATACTGATTTTTACAGAAAAAAATCTGGTTTTCAATCAAAGACTTTTTGAATCGATCGTACGAAAAGAACATCATTTAGAGAGTCAGTATCGAGTGAAGAACGACGTTGTGTTATTGTAGAGCCAGCAGATGAAAATTGTCGCTCTACTCCAGCAGATGTAATAGGGATAGAAAAGAGATGACGGGCCAGTAGAGCTAAACCGGGAAATTTTTTGATGGTCACGCCAGAATGGTAATCAATTGGACTACTTGTACATGTCCTCAATGCTCATTCGTAAATATCTTTCAAGTTCATCATTTTTTAATGTGTTTATTGTTGTTGAATTGATATCATAAGTGACATCGTCATCATCAACTATCCTCATATAAAATTATCGTTAACAACATTTTATGATCAAGATCGAACTTTTATCGGAAGTTGAAAAATTATGGTAGACAGGCGGCCTGCCCATTTCAAGCGGCCTGCCTGGCCTGCACCAGGCTTGAAAAACATGGCCTGAGCCTGCCTGTCACAGGCAGGCAGGCAGGCTCCATGGCCTGTTTTAGGCTCTGATATGGAAGTGAGAGAAGAATGAAAAAATAATATAGGTCACGACAATATCTTTTTTTCTTTTCTTCTCTCGTCCGTAAGTTGTCATTGTTCAGGTTATCATTGATGATCAATGATAATGTGACATAATGATTATATATATCAATTAAGCATTATCCATACACATACATTGAGATATTTGTGATTGATTTTATCTCAATGCATGTGTATGTAGATGATAGCTTAATTACTATCATCTTTTCATCACACTCTGACGAGAAAAAAAAAACAAAATTATCAATTTTTAACATATAAATATGAATGATTTTCTATGTAAAATCATTCAATTTATTGAATCAAATATTAATCTTTTCTTTTTATATTTTAGTATGATTTCGACGATACAAAATTATACAATTCAAATCAATACAACACAATAAAAAAATGTAGGTATCAATTTTTTTTTTCTTTATTGGATCATACAGAGGGTGGTAAGTCCTCTTGTGATCTTTTATATTCATGTTTTTCTTTTCCTGTTAAAGACGTCATCATTCAACATCAACGGGTGAGTTGATTTTTTTTTTATTTTTCTTTTCTTCGTTGAGATGAGAATAGTTACGGTGAGTGAGGTACGTTGAGATTAAGGTTTCGCCTTATAAGAAGGACTTCCGGGTAGTCCCTAAAAGCCTGGCCAGGAACTGCCTTGGTGTCCGTGGCACACGATTGGGCCTCCAGACTCACTGACATATGACATCGGATGGGTGCATGTGGACGATGTGGGTCTTCCAGCGAGTGCATGAGCATTACGCTCGCCACGGCTCCACCAGGATGGTTCCTGGTCGCGCGCGCGCGAAGAGAATAGAATAGCTATGAAATCATTTTTTCATTCAATCACGATTTATTTGAAATGGAAAGAGAACAAACAAAAAATATAATTCATCATCGCATTGAATTTCATTCGATATTAAATTTTTGTACTCGAGCATTTCCGAAATCGACGACATAGAGATTACCATGTCGATCGAATGATAAACCTACGGGACCATTGAGTTGATTCGACAGTGCTCCTTTACCGTTCCCACCAACAATCACACTTCCTTGTGTGGCTTCTTTTGGCCAACGCATGATTCGATGATTCCTATCATCAGTCGCATAGACAGTACCCAATTGATCGACAACGACTCCTTGAGGACCATTTAATTGTGTGAGACTATTTCCTTGTCCTTGACCACCGGCTACGACAATGCCTTGTTTTGCACCTTCTTCCCATTTCATGACACGATGATTTCCATGATCAGACACATAAACTGAATGATCTCGATCGACAAATACGTAGTGGGGATCAGAGAGCTGATCGTGACGATTTCCTTCTCCATTACCACCTGCAACTACTGTTCCTTTAGTGTCACCAATTTTATATCGTCTCACTTCATGTTCTTCTGCATCAACGACATAGAGAGAACCATTTTCGTCCATTGTCAAACCTTCGCAAGAGATATTGGAAATAATTGTTTCTCCACGAGTGCCATTTCGACGAGGCCATCGAACTACTCTTCTATTCCCACAATCGCTGATGAGGAGACTATCGCTCTCTTTGTCGATAATCACATCTCGTGGGTAGTTTAACTGATGAGCTCCATTTCCTTCTCCATTTCCACCAGCAGCTACTTTTCCATTCGTTGCACCAGATGTCCATTCCACAATACGATGATTATAATAATCAGCGACATAAATCGTTTGATCATCATCGACGTACAAACCACATGGACCATAGAGTTGATTGGTTGCACGGCCTTTTCCATTTCCTCCAGCAACAGTGATAGCATTCGTTGACCATGTTGCATTTGGATGAATATCAATGGAACTTGCACGTAGTGGTACTGAAATGGAGGCAAAAGTATGAAGTAAAAATAAACATAAATGTCATTGAAATGAGTTCTTCTCATTTGTTTTAAACAATATTGAACTGCTCTCAATTACAAAAGCTTTTTACTTATGAACTTGATTAGAATCTGGTTTTTCTCAATGTTGAAAACAAAACATTGTTGATTTTTCTGAAATATTTTGTGTAAGAATCCTTAGTTTGACTAAAACTAACTAAAATTTAACTGGTAATGTGAAAAATTGCGATAAACTCGGATTTTTATCGTGAATGAAATTTTCTTTTTTGTCGAATTTTTCCAACATATTTACTGATTTTGTTAGTTCGAGTTTGAAATATATTTAAGAATTATTTTATTTTTTATTGTTTCGATTTTAAAATAAAATGAGTTATAATAGAATTTGAATGTAAGGAAAAACAATTTTGTTATCAGTTGATAGGAAACGGTGTATGATTTATGTCCGTCACACATTTCTGAGTGAAATGAGACAAAATAAATTTACAACTTTTGTATGAATTCGTTAAAAACATCTTGCTAGATAATAACGATAGTTAATTATACTTAACTACCATCCATAAGACGTTTTTGACTGATTCATATAAAAAAATTACAAATTTTTTGTGTAAGTATTTTTCTTTCTTATTCCATTTACGAATGTGTGACAAATATAAATCATACATCATTCGAAAGTATTTTATGTCATGAATTTTGCATCATACTTATTATTGAGTAATTTATTTCTGAATCTCAAACAAACAAGTAGTTTGTAGAAAGGCTAATCGAAGTGCTAACTAAGATAAGTTTAGATAAAATAATACGTAAGTTCGAATTTTAGTAGATAAGAAGAACTCAAAAACAAATCTTTCCCAAGTTCAAGAATATTTGAAGAATCTGTCATATTCATTATTCTGCATTGTAGCACAAACAATAATCTATATACGAATCAATCAAATCTTTTATTTTGAATTCATTTCTAATGTATTACAAATTTTCAACTTAATAGGATCTCGGTGTATGGAACTTGGTTTTTTAAACAATAGCAGTTTCGATCAAGGATAGATTTCGATCTTTCTACAATTAAATATTTTCGCTTCTTTACAAGACAATACGAATCTCCTATCGAAACCTTAATCTAAAATCTTTACAAATTTTTGTTCTGTAGGTTATTCAATAGGTATAAATTTTTGAGAATTCTCACAAAAAAGCAACGATCGTAAAAGATTTTATCATGATTTTAGCTATTCTCAATAGCAATAAGTGTGAAGATTTCTTCTTCAAATTGTTATTGTATCGCATTCTGCACTGGTTAAATCCTAGAAGAAAGTTTTTTTTGTTGGTCTAGAATTTTCTAAAGGTTGATATTGATTTGAGCTTTAAACTAGAAACAATACTTCTATGATTATATCTTGTATGGTCTGTTACGGAACGAGTCTATGGGCTTTTTTATTTCAAACTGAATTCCAAAATCAAAAAACCACACCAATTTCTTCCGAATCAAACTTTTCTCGCTTGATACTACGTAGTCTCACTAAAAACCCTTAGTCTCCCCTAGTCCTGCAAAGTCCCCCTTAGTCCCCCACACAAAAAGCTTAGTCCCCGCTTAGTCCCCTGTGCAGGGGACTAAAGCCTATAGTACACAAAACCACAAGCACACCCTCACTCTCACTCGCGCGCCCACACCCGCACCATGGGTGTGTGTGTGGGTCCCAGACCAACACCCACACCCTCAGTCACCCCCCTCCCTCACTCCTAGACTCACGTTTCAGTTTGAAATCAAGTATTATTTTTATTTGATAAATTCAGACTGAAATAAAATAGCCCATAGTATGTACGGAACCGATGAAGTTAATAAAAAATGTCATGGAGTTTTATAAACTCCCTAAAAATAATTTAAATAATTTCATCCTTTTTAATTTATCTATGAAGAATCTAGCTATAATCGAGATCTTGATTAAATTTAATACTATTAATCAATTTTCATTTTTATTACATGTAATGTCATGTATTTTTAATATGTTTAATGTCTCAGTGCAATTGGAAGAAAGTACATTTTAGTATTATTTCTTTTCTTGGATCGACAAAAAACAAATACATGTAAAATGGTATGAGAAGTATAATTATGTGTCAAACAACTCGAAGATGAGAGTCAGAAACAAAACAATACTTTCTGCTTTTTAAATCAAAGAGATTGTGAGACATAAAATTCGAGTAGATAATTTTATTTTCTACTTATGGATGATGGCATAGAGCTATATGAGATGCTTATTAATATTATAGATTTATTTCAATTAAATCGAACTTCTCAAATATCTCTTATACACATGGAAATAATCAGTCTGACCGGCTACCTTGCTTCGGTTTTTTTCCACATAAACTTCAGTCTTATTTTAGAACAAGTACAGTCAACATTTGCTCTATATTTGATATTATATAAAATTCTATTCATTATTTTTCATTTTTCTATATTAATAATATAAATAACAATTAGTTTTAATTTTAATTTTTCTATGTTGGTAATATACTTAACAGTTAGTTTTATTGCTTTTATTTTCTATATCGATAATACAAGAATCTTCATTCTCATTTCTTGTTTTTCTAAATTGGCAGATTAGAAAATTTTATTTATTATTTTTGATTTTTTATATTGATAATATAGAAAATCTTATTTTTGAATTCTTATTGATTTTAATTGATAATATAAATATCAGTTAGTTTTAATTCTTATTTTTCTATATTATCGATATAGAAAAATACAAAATAAAAACTAAGATTTTCTATGTCAACAATATACAAAAAATAGAGAATAAAACAAATTGTTATCTTTGTTACCAATGTAGAAAAATAAAAAATAACATTCTTCATATGACCAATGCAAAAAATAAGAAATTAAAATCAGCATTTTCTAAATTATTATTACTATAGACAAATAGGACATAAAACTAGCTGTTTCTATATCATCAATATAGAAAATAAAAAATAAATAGGATTTACTATTTTATCACTACAGAAAAATCAGGAATACAAGTAACCGTTTTGTACTCTATTAATATAGAAAGGTGAAAAATAAAGATAACCGTTTTCTACACTATTAGTATAGAAAAAGAAGAAAAAAACTGACATAAACTATTCGAGTCTTTTTCCCGGGTACTGTTCTTCATCGGAAAGCTGATGAAATCAACTATTCTCGAATAAGGGAAAGAACAGAACAGACCATACATGATCAGATGCTAACAGGCAAGATCTACATTATGTACCGTGTATGTTTCTTTGTTTTAGATCTTGTATGATCTGTTAAGGTCTGACAAGAAGGATTCAGTCTGTCCAAATCAGTGTCTTAATCATTGAGTCTTATAAGATTATTTGCTGACACCGAACAATCAAAATCTGAGAATATCTTTAAAAAAATGAACATATAAGATATTGTCCGCTATTGTAACAAGATCATAGAAAAAACCTTATAGGAGTAAGACCTCATTGGATCTTGCAGGATCTAACATCTGTTTTTTTCGGGGTGGGTGTGAGTGTGGCTATAGATGAATCATTTACCCACCCATCATGGTAAGAATTTGAACATATAATTTCACCAATATAAATCAGCTATTAAATATTAGGCTTTTCGGAAATTCATCAGTTATAATAAAATTGTATTCTGACTTTAAATAGCCTATTATCCAAAAATATGCAACACTATTTGAAGAAAAACAGAAATGTCGCTTTCAATTTTGCAACTTATGTTCATATGGCTTGTCACGATAGACAAGACAATTGAAATCGACATATAAATAGTGACGTGATTGAAAGAAGAAAAGAAAAGATCCTATTGTCCGTATCATAGGAAAATATATTTATTTACCTGTATAACTAAAATACTAATCACTTATCTTATTTCTAAAATCTTCTTGCATTTCAAGTTTTCCAACGGTAACTGAGAAAGTGTAAATTAAATTTAA